TTTCAGGGGCTGGCCCCGTGGCATGGTGGTTAAGTTCATGCATTCTGCTTTGGAGGCCTGGGGTTCACAGTTTCAGATCCCAGGCATGGAACTACAAACGGCTCATCTCCGTGACAGCATCCCATGTATAAAATAGAGGAACATAGGCAAAGATGTTAGTTCAAGGACAATCTTCCTCACACACACACAAAAAACTTTAATGACAAATATTTTTTCTAACCACCTTTACCTATACAGTTCATTAAAAATTAAAAGATATCGTCAGTGTTAGGGGTGTTCAAAGAGATTCAATCTGAACTTTTATTTATCTGTTTATAATACTGGTGTACTTGAAATCATGCAAATTTTTAAAAGCTATAACTTTATCTATGTACTTCTAATGTGTACACAGAGTGTGATTGAAATGCTCACAAATTTATTTACAAGTACAGTAAATTATGAAGTACAACGTTTGACTCTCGCCTTTTTTCTTAGGAAGATTAGTCCTGAACTAACATCTGCTGCCAATCCTCCTCTTTTTGCTAAGGAAGACGGGCCCTGAGTTGACATCCACGCCCACCTTCCTGTACTTTATATGTGGGACGCTTGCCATAGCATGGCTTGATAAGCAGTGCATAGGTCCGTGCCTAGGATCCAAACCAGCAAACCCTGGGCTGCCAAAGCAGAACATGCAAACTTAAGTGCTGTGCCACTGGACTGGTCGCATTGTTTGGTCTCTTTTATCAGGTTTCACAACTTCATAGATTATTTTTTCTCAATTTCAATTTCACCTTTATGATATAAATAATATCATCTATTTCAGTCTTTATCGTCAAAATCTGAGGAGACGGCAGCTGTGTAAGGATTCCTAAGTCATTGTAATTGTGGGTAGAGTCAGAAAGAGCTTTAAATAAACAGTAAACAGGCATCCAAAATCTGTCTACTAGAAATAAAAACTGTATGCCCAAATACCAAATAAAAATAACCTGCTTTCTCACATCCTTTCTTTTTCCTTATCCATCATTTTATTTTTTCTCTTTATCACCTTCAAAAAACAGCAGGAAAATGTTAAATGGTCATATAATCGCCAGAAGTTTTTCCATATGCTGTGGAAATTATTTTGTTTTTGTCCTATTCTGTTGTTTACCCCATAGTCTATTTTGAATAGGTTACAAAATTTAAAATTAGCGTATTAAAACATTCCTTAAAAGTATTCTGGACTGGAACACTATTGGTGTGTTTCCTTTTGTTGATGGTTGCTGTGAAGAATGTTGAACACTCTACTTTTCCACAAAACTTCCTGTCATTTCTCTCAAATTTTCTACATGCTTTAAACATTATTTTGTTTGTTTTAAGCCACTAGCTAAAATGGTTCACATTTTTGTGGAACGTGTATCATTTAATCACTAACTACTAGTCTGTTTTAAATTTAATCTCTGGAATTATGTAATTTTAATCTATGCCATTTTATTATTTTTGGCTTCTCTCTTTGATGTACAGTAGTCATTTTTCCCTGGAATCACTCGTGCTCACATGGAGTAGCAGCTAGCAGCCCGCCGCGCTGCTCAGCCCTGGGGGCCCGAGGCCCCCCACACAGTGGGGCAGCCGCAAGAGTGGGTGAAAGTGGCAGCCCGCCGCGCTGATCAGCCCTGGGGGCCCCACCCCCACTCAGGTGGACGACCGCCAGAGTGGGTAAAAGTTGAAGCCTGCCTCGCTGCTATGCCCTGGGGGCCCCCCCCACTCAGCCGGCCGACCGCCAGAGTGGGTAAAAGTGGCAGCCCGTCACGCTGCTCAGCCCTGAGGGCCCCCCCAAACCCCGCTCAGGCAGCCGACTGCCAGAGTGGGTGAAAGTGGCAGCCCAGCAGGCTGCTCAGCCCGGGGGGGCTCCACCCCCACTGATGCGGACGATGGCCACAGTGGGTAAAAGTGGCAGCCCGCCCCGCTGCTCAGCCCTGGGGTCCGCACCCCAACTCAGGCGGCCGACCGCCACAGTGAGTAAAAGTGGCAGCCCGCCAGGCTGCTCAGCCCTGGGGTCCGCACCCCCACTCAAGCGGCCCTCCGCCACAGTGGGTAAAAGTGGCAGCCCACCGCGCTGCTCAGCCCTGGGGGCCCCCACGCGGGCGGCAGATGGCACAGGAGAGTAAAAGTGCCAGCCCGCCGCGACGCTCAGCCCCGGGGGCCCCCACGCGGGCGGCCTACGGCGCAGGTGAGTAAAAGTGCCATGCCGAGTGGAACTACTATCCAATGTAAACATTTTTGACATTAGAAAGTGGTCCTAAAACCACGCGAAGAAATGTGTGCATGGTATGCTACCATTTATCCAAGAAGATTTCCTGTAAATATATGTGCCTGCATATATCAATACATTATTATACCATATTGTTTTCTAAATGAAAAGATAAGCCATAAATATTTTTAAATGATTCCATATAAGGGGAAGAAGGGATCGTGACCAGGAGGAAGGAAGAGGCTAGACTCCACTGAATATACTTTGTAGGTGTGATTTTGAAACCATGAATATAGTCTTATACAAATATAAAATGAAGTGAAATATTCAGAAAAGAAATCCCTAGAAGTCAAGAGCAAATTGAAATAAATAAACCTAGCCATCTACTGATTTGTGGCATGACCACAAAGACAGAAACTATTCCATGTGACTTTAAAATACTCATTTGACTGTACATCCTTAGTAAGACATACCCTAAGAACAGGAAGAAGATACAAAAGAAAGAACAACTTAAAGGGTATTCAACAATCGTGTTATTGACTCTATGGTTAGCGTTGTTCTTCTGAGACTTAAGATTGACGGGATCAAGTGAAATAGCTCCTGAATTTTAACCAGAAGCAGTCTGATAAACTCAGTATACGTTGTATTTTAAAAAACGCTTTCTAGCTTTATGCACTAAAAGGTCTGGAAACAATGACACACCCATCACTAGTGAAAGCTTCTAGTGTATAGATTGTGGGCTCCAAGCACCATTTCTCATTAACTGCAACCAGGGCTCCTGGGAGAAGTGGCTGCTTCCAGGTCTGGGACAAGCAATGTAGCAGGTGAGCCTGAAAATCTTGTCGTATCCAAAGATAGGAAGCCATCAAAGATAACTCGAGTCTTGTCAAAAGGACCCAGGAGCTGACCTGACTAGGCTCCCATTAGTCAAAGATGGAGCAATTTGAGCATCAAAACTAATAACAGTGACTTGAAAGACACCAAAATATTTGTACAGTCATGCATCACTTAACGACGGGATATGTTCTGAGAAATCCATCCTTAGCCAGTGTTGCCCTTGTGTGAACATCACTGAGTGTACTTACACTAACTTAGGTGGGATAGCCTCCTTCACACCTAGGCTCTATGGTACTAATCTTTCAGGACCACCGACATATACATGTTCTGTCGTTGACCTAAACGTCATTATACCGGGCATGACTGTATTCACGAAGTCACTAGGATAGATTAAAAAAAAGGCAAACAGAAAACATCCCTTTGGTGGCTCAGGATGCTAGAGAACCAACACAATCTTTGGAAAATGGGTTAATGAAAAGAGAGATTCAAGCATTTATCCTGACTTCTGTAAGAACCCTACCTTAGGGTATTCAAACAGTTGATGAGAGAAAGTCTCCTTATAGAAATGAGCCAGGTAATGAATGAAGAAGGATCCATAGAGTGAGGGCATAACCATTTTGCACCCTCTAATGAAACAACAGATCTAGGAATGGTCATTGGTGGCTACAAAGGTCTCAAAGAGAGATGGCCAGACATGGTGCCTCCTGATGAAAGTCTACAAATTTGATGTCTGAATCTAGCTGAGTCAATTTTAACAAAATGCCTGAGGAGCAGAAAAACAGATTCAAAGTCTCCATGGGGACACAGCTAGCTAACTCTGGACTGTGGGAAACTAGAGCAGTGCCACCCAACATGGCTTCACAGACCAGCATCAGCATGATTCGGGAGCTTGTTACAAACGCACATTCTCAGGCCTTAGGTTACTGTTAATTTTTTAGGGTATGGCAGTGCTTTGGTGGCTATATTTTACAAAGTCCTTTCTTTTAGTGATGTGTATTTAAATATTTGTGCATGAAATGATATCCTATTTGAGATTTGTCTCTACCTAATTTGGGGGTGGGAAGTGGGAAAAGAGGTGGGGTTATAACAGAAACAAGATGAGCCATGACTTCATAATGATAGAGGCTGGGTGCTGGGTACATGGCAATTCTTTATACGCCTCTGTTTTTTAATACTCAGCCTTTCCATAATAAGATGGATTTTAAAAGAGTCTAATTCAGACAAATAATGTGCCAAATATAACAAAATGTTAATTATTAAATAGGTTGATGGATGTATTAGGGTAGTTATTACCCTTTTCTCTCTACTTCTCCATGTGCTTGAAAATGTTTCTACTTAAAACTAAAAAGACTTTCACTGGGAAAAACTGAAGTAGATGCTCATGCTTCAAAACATGGGAGTCACTGTAGAAAAGACTGACGTACTTGCTGTAACAATTATTGATGAAAGTGTATGTGCAGACACCATATTAGACAAATTCAGATGTAATTACCTTGTTGTTAACACCAGTGTTAATCAGCAGGAAGTGAGGTCCAGGGAGCTGTCACCCAGAGTCACAGGCTGTGCCTGTGGTCAGTCCCGAGCCGATCTCTACCTATCCTGTGATCTTCCTGGTTCTGGAACATTTACATTTCAGAATCACATCATTTTTCGGGTTTATTGTTGATCATTCCTATGACTTGGGGATGCTTTCTGTGTTCTAGGATATCAAGTGATAACATTCTGTGCTGTGTGTTTGTTACTTGATTTTTGACTTTAAAATGCGTCATTGGGTTATAACATACATTCAGAGAATTGCGTGAATATGAAGTATGCAGCTGCACAAGTGTCACTTACGTCTTGTGGACAGGTTTCTGGAACCCCTCTCCCTGGTCCAGTGGGTGAATCTCGCCCGCAAACTGCATAGGCGTTAAGTCAGTCCGATAACACCCACGCTGTGCTGTGCAAGAGCCGTGCAGGCCATCTTCAGCCTGTGTCACACGACCTTGCGTCCCCACGTCTCATGACTGAAGACGCCAGTTGGACCTCTGCAGAGCAGGAAGAGGTGAAGGGCAGCTCGCTCTCACCCTCCCCCGCTGCATTGCTTAGAGATTGTGGGAATAATTAACGACCCTGGTCCTCGTCTCCCTCCACACGTAGATAACGTTAGCGTCTCTGAACTTGTTTGATGTATGACTGAAGATGCTTGTTTATGTCACCCAGATGCACCGTATCCTTTTTTGACATAGATGAAATCTAGTGGCAAGTTTTTTCCCTCTTCTCCTCTTCCCTGCACAGTACACTGACTGCTCACACCCTCGGAGCAGTCCCATCAGAGCACCCTGTGGAACTGGTTCTCGGGGTCCCACTCCTCACCCCGAGTATTGAATGAACTCCATCACTAATGTCACCAGGACCTTTCACTCAGTCAACAGCATATAACCTGTGTACCACCACCCAGGGCAGGATGTAGAATATTTCCCATGCCTCCACCCCTTGTGCCCCTCCCTTGTCACAACCCTCCTCCTGGGAAATGGCTATGCTGAGGTCTACCACCAGAGATAGAAGTAGGATCCTAGTGGGTGGTCTTTTCTGTCCTGCTCTTTCACTCATCATGATGTCTGGGAGAGTCACACTGTTGCTGCAGGTGGCAGAAGCTTATTGATTTTTGTTGCTGTGTAGTATTCCATTGTGTAAATATCCTCAAGTTACCTATCTATCCTATTTGATGGAAAGTTGAGGTTGTTTCCAGTTCTCCACTATTGTGCGTAGAATGGCGATGAACATTCCCAGGATTTAGAAAGGTACAGGGAGTATAATGCTGGGGTAAGAATGTGCCAGGAGATAAATGGAAAAGAATACAGAGTCCACAGATAGACTCATAAACATGGGCAACTGATCTTTGTCAAAAGATCAGAGGCAATTTGATGGAGAAAATTTAGTCTTTTAAACAAATGGTGATGGCACAATCGGGTGACCATATGGAAAAAACTTAACAAAGACGCCAACTTTTCACATGACACAAATATTCACAAAAATTGTTCATTGATGTAAACATAAACTGCGAAACTCTCAAAATTCTAGAACTAGCAAAGGAGAAGATATGACCTCAGTTTTCATAATGACCTTTTATCTTCAACATTGAAAGAACGAGTCTTCAAAGAAAAATCCAGTTAAGGTGGACTTTGTTAGAATTAAAATTTTCTACTCTATGATAATCACTGTTAAGAGAAGAAAAAGACCAACCCTAGACTGTGCGAAATCTTTGGAAGAAGCCTGTCTAAGAAAGGGCTTGTATTAAAATGTACAAAGCATCATAAATTCAACAATAAGAAAACAAACATTCCAATGAAAAATGGGTAAAGATCTGAACAGACACCTCGCTAATGAAGGTATAAGCATACAATAAGCATGCAAGAAGATGCTCAAAATCACTTATCATTAGAGAGAAGCAAGTTGAAACAAAGTGAGACGCCTTGACACACAAATACACGAGATCAATTCATGGCTGGGGGGTAGGACAGCACAGACTCTCTGTCGTCACTGCTGCCCATGCCGAGTGGTGCAGCCACTGTGGAAGACACTTGGGCACTTTCTTACAGAGCTAAACATCATCTTAACACGTGATCCCTCAACCATCTTCCTAGGTATTTACACAATGTTTTCAAATAGAACGTCAACAAAAAAGCCAGCACACATATATAGACTGCTCCTCATTTATACAGGCAGGGAACTTGAATGAACAAAGATAACCTTCCATAAATGAAAGGACACCCAAATGAGGTACATCCATGCAATGTAATGCTATCAGGTGCCAACACTGAAAGAGCTATCAAGATGAAAACACATGGAGGAATCTCAAATTCACCTTTCTAACAGAAAGAAGCATCTGCGAAGGCTGGGTAGAGTACGGTCTCATTGATACGGCATTCTGCAAACACAAAGCTATCAATTTGATACACAGATCAGCTTCCCAGAGCTGTGCAGGCCTGGTGTTGGGGGAGAGGGATGAAGAGGTCATTAAATCCGTGTGATGCTTTAATGGTGGATACTTGCCTCTCTGCCTTTGACAAAATCCCCAGATTTTTACAGTGGAAAGAGCAAATCTTGACTTACACAAATTAGTAAAATGATTTAGGTGGGTGGATCCTTGGATGGAATGCAGATGAGACTAGAGAGCCTAACCGTATTGAGAATGGAAGAAACAAACTCACTGCAAGTGGTGGGGGAAGTGGTGCTGACCTAAGGACCTTTGGAAATGACTGGAATCTGTGCAACTACAGGAAAAGACACCTAGCCAGCAGAGAACCCTACTTGATCAAGTTCTTTCTCAAGAGTTACTGGTTAATAACTGTGAGGCCCCTATGCATCTAGACCGGGATTGGAGAAATGACTGAGTGGTCGTCAGACGGCAGGAGACAGGGTTCCACTACTGCAGGAGCAGGTTTCGGGGAGGGCAGGGCGCGGGCTGGAGGGCTCCATGTGGCCATGCGTTCGACTGGGAAGCCGTGCTCTGAACTGACGTTGACCTTAATCTAAACATGGCTGTTTCCATATAGACACATATATAGCAGACAGTGTACACACGGTAAGGTCAGCACACCAGCCTAACTTAAGCATCCTGCCACCGAGAGAACCAAGAATCAAGGACACCCCGGAGCAACCAGCACACTGAGCTCACAGATGCACTTTTTTTTTTTTTTTTAAAGATTTTTTATTTTTCTCCTTTTTCTCCCCAAAGCCCCCCGGTACATAGTTGTATATTTCGTTGTGGGTCCTTCTAGTTGTGGCATGTGGGACGCTGCCTCAGCGTGGTCTGATGAGCAGTGCCATGTCTGCGCCCAGGATTCGAACCAACGAAACACTGGGCCGCCTGCAGCGGAGCGCGCAAACTTAACCAGTCGGCCACGGTGCCAGCCCCAACAGATGCACGTTTTTAATGCCATGGTCTCATACAAGGAGCCAGTGCTCCTTGAGGAAAAGGCTGATTCCAGGCTGAGGCTGAGAAGGCGCAAGACAATGCTGCAGAATCCTGTAGAAAAGTAAGGAGGTGTTATATCCCCAACTAAAATACACAGGCGCCATAGTTTTCCATCACATTTATGTCGTAAGAATATTTAAGCATTAAAACCAACCCGGCGGTGTAGAGGCTGAGTCAAATGCTTCATTTTGGCTGCCCAGGATTCACAGGTTCAAATCCTAGGCGCAGACTTATGCCCTGTTCATCAAGCCATGCTGTGGTAGGTGTCCCACAGACAAAAGAGAGGAAGATTGCCACACATGTGAGGGACGCTGGAGGCAGAAAGAGGCAGCGGAGCTCCGTCGGGACAAGGAGCGGTCTCATGCCCGCCAGCGTGGCTCTGAGAGTTTGAGAAAGAGGCCCCTTCAGAATCAGTGGGGGCATCAGTTGGAAATTTGTTTAGTTAAGAAAATGGTCTATTCAGCTGAAACACTTCAAAATCAGAGCGATGTGCATGGAGCAAAGGTAGTTGGTGTTCGTTTCTGGCCCGTGTGCACTCACGCCCCCATCCATTCGCTGAGTGACTGAGCTTCTCCACATGAGCCGCAGCGGCTCCTGGGCCCTTTGCACTTCAGGTTCCCCATACAATGCACAGGTTAGCATGGGATCTCTGTGCCTCCTTCCAGCTCCGTCTGCCTCATTGCTACATTCACATAAGGACACATTCCACTAGGGAACTATTGTTGCCGTTGTTAGGACACGAAAAACGCATCCTGGGCCCCCCTGAGAGGTGCTGCCGGGCCTCACATGCCTCCTGGATGCAGGGTTCAGTGTGGTTGGCATGCCCTCTGTGGGCCATGGTCACACCAAGCCCGTGCTCAGCAGCTTTTCTCACATCCCGGTCCCAGGCCACAGGGTGAGGAAGGGGCAGCAGGCCAGCAGGCACTGGGGCCTGAACCACTCAGCAGGTCAGCACTCCCGTTTGAATCCACGCTTGGGGTGGACACCAGGGAACAAGCACCCGAGGCTCCCCTGGGCTCCTGAGGTGTTTCGGGTGCCCCTTCCCTGTCCCCTTCCTCCATACCCCATGCCCTGGGAGCCCTTCCACCCAGGACATCAGGAGGCTTAGCCCCTCCAGCCTGGCTATGGGACCCCCGAAGCCTTGTGGTCGTGTCCTCCTGGCAGGGAGCCTCTCTTTTTTCTGGAACTCCAGTCGTGCTGGCTGAGGGCTCCAGCCCTGTTTGTTTGAGGCTCCATCCATCGCCCAGGCTGCATGCCTGCTGCTCTCTGAGACAGGGCCCTGTTTTCCTTAACATGCCCTGTTGTTCACCACAAGCTCTCTGGGCCTCCAACTCCTGCCCGCTCCAGACTGTGTACTGTCTGCTCCCACCCCTCACACCCCTGTTACTGGGCTCTACCTTCTGCTGGGAAGCCCACCAGTTGGCTTTGACTGGTCTGTGAACACTCAGCACTGCCCTGGCCTCTGTTCACCTCTGTTTCCATCACGGTGGACACCCAGCTCTGTGTGACAACCTCACATCCTTCCAGCCATCCTCAGCTCCCCCGGAGTCCTGGTCCAGCTCCTTCTTTCACACCTCCTACCATCCAGGATGCTTTTAAACAGCCTCTGAGTACCACAGACAAGCTGCCACTCCCCCAGGCCACCTGCTCTGATGCTAGCCTAGGTCCCTGCATCTCGGCTGCTTCCAGGAGGAGGTGCCTCCTGGGCAAGGCCCTGAGTGACCACCTTAGTGTAGTCATGCTCAGAAACTCAAAACCAGGTCCTGCTTCCTGTGAGCTCGTGAAGATTCTGGAGACATGGTCGGAGAGCTGACGCTGACTTCCAAAATCTGCTCCCAGGCCATTCCAAAATGTCTGCCCCTGAGAGAAGGCCCGACTACCCAGCAGTTGTCCCCTGCAATGGGGTGGGATGGCACTCATGGCACGAGAACTGCGGGAAGCAGGGACGTCTCCCTTGGTCTATTTCACTCTCTTGGCAAAAAGACCACAGACCAGTGAAGAGTTCTGATGATGAAACTTTGCCCAGTTCTGACTCCCACTCTCTGTGGTCAGGAGCAGCCTTGGGGGGATGCTTGTTAAGAAACAGCTAGTGAGACTACACGGCAGAACTTTGTGTCACTGAAGAACGTCGTAAAGTCTCACACCAGGACCATTTAACTGTGTGACACTATTCTTCTCTGGCACAAAATGTGCCCCCAATCCAACAAGATTCCAGTTGCTCCTTCGTTTCTGGGCCTGATGGTGGGTGGGATAGAAGGAAATTCATGACTTCAGCCTCTAATCTGGTAGGACAATCAGGCACACACTGAGCTCTCTCTGTCTCTCACGACCAAGGGAGGGGGACCAACTCAGAACTGACCTGGGCCCTGGTCACATCGAGAACAACAGGTTCCCTGCATCAAGATGGAGTCCCTGGGTAAGCCATCTGTCTGAGGGGGCAGAGATGTGGTGGGCAGGCATTCTAGGTGCGGGCAAGAAGAGCTGAGGTGAGGGAGCAAGAGAGCCCAGGCATGTTTGAGGAGGGCAGGCCAGATGGTGTGGGTGACAACGGCCAATTACTCCTCCTTTCTGTGCTTCCTCTACGTTATTAAAAACCTGGGATATTACCCACAACACTCCAAGTTATTCTGAGGGCAAAATGAGTGGATACGCACAAAGACTCTTAACCTAGACCCCTTGCCTTCCCCGGCCCTGCTCAGCCCTGGGTCCTGGCACTTCTCTTGCTCTTGGAGGTAAAGGATGGTCTGCCGTGTAGCCAGTCACATTCTTGGATGGCTGTGCCCTGTCAGGGAGGCCATGGGCAACCAGGATGTGTCTTCCATCCCTGCCGCAGCCTGAAGGCCGCGCTGGCAGAGGCCAGGCCCCCTGTGTGTCTGAGGGCCACTGGCAGCCTCCATCCAGAGGGGAGAGCTCTGAACCGCTAAACAAGTCCTCTGGGTCTTGCTGTGACTGGGTGTTTCCGTGGGAGCACGTTCACAATACTCGGCGGTGGCCCCTGAGCTGCTGATCACCGGGTGGGGACTCTGGGTGAACTCAGCGCAGTGGCTCTTGTCCACCCATACTGCCAGCCCTTCAGGATTTAAACAGGCAAGGCCGTGTCCATGGATGCCCAGAGATCATAGTTGGGTGGCATTCCCCTGGAGGACCTCCCTACACCTGCCCCTCTCAGCCTCAGCTTTCAAAGCCCCCAACAGAAATGGCTCACACAGACTGGGAGGTAACCACAGCACAAGACTGTGGATAAGAGCACAGCCATCCCAGGGGCAAAGGTCTATGGGCTCGGGCCCAGCTAGAATGTAGGACAAGTCAGGAATAACATGACTCAGGGTGTGACGGATGGATCTCCTAGACCAAGGACGTCAGCACCACACAGACCCGGAAGTCACCTTGGTCAGCAAGGGACCGAGTGGGGGTTTTGTCTGGCCAGGTACATGGACCCTTATCCCGCCTGTCAGAACCCATCCTGGTCCATCAGGCCAGCCAGGGAGGAGTGGCTGTGAGGCACCTGAGGGAGGGTGGGGCCTTTAGGGGACTTCTGACTTGACAAGAGTGAAGAAGGAAGTGCAGGGGCTGGGGTTCTGGGTCACAGGGAGCAGGAGAATATCGGGAACGGGGCCCAGCTGGAGCCTGGACGGCTGCACCACAAGTGTTCCCCTGGAGAGGAGACAAGCAGGGAGAGGACTTCGGAGCCGGGGACAAGTTCCCAGCAGGATTCCAGGCCAGGGAAAGGGTGAGCATGGAGCCCCAGGGGGACACTGAGGAGGGGAGGTCCTGCCTGCCCAAAGTCCCTGCACAAATGACCTTCCCCTGGCCTTGTCCTCTCCACACGCACGGTTTGATCTCGTTACGTGTTTTCCCCAGTTAGAGCTGATGCGTTTCCAGAGGCTGAACTAGGAAACTATAAGTTCCCAACATGGGGTCCAGAGACACGTCCACAAGAGACACAGGAAATGTTTCCTCTCCCTCCAGAGTGTGGACGGGCAGCCCCTCTCCTGGGGCACAGAGTGGGCCTGGCAAGTGGTGGTTTTAGGGACCCCCACATTTCCGTGGTGGATGCTCGGCCTGAGAAAACACCTCAACCTCCCATCTCAGGGGTCTGAGGGGCTGTCTCTTCTCCTGGGCCAGCTTCACGTTGCTGACACGGACCTGTCCTCTGAGGAGGGGCACTTGGGGGTCTCCTTCAGCAGCCAGGGAGGGGCTGCACCTTCCCCCCTCTCCCACACACAATAATCGGATGACTGCAAAATGTCTTACTCCAGTGAGGAATCTGAGAGTCTGGATAGCGTTTAAATTAGCACAGAATGTGAAAGAAGCACCACTCCCAGGCTCTAAGAGAAACAGGACTTTAATACAACAGTCTGCAAATCTGGCATGAACTATTTACAAGCAGTGATTCTCACCCCTACAGAGATGGAAATTGGCCTCAGGAAGGGGTGGCAGGCGGTGGGGCCCTTGCACCCTGAGTGCCCCAGCTGGGTCCCTGCTGCTAAGGAAGAGGTCATACGACAACGGGACACTCACTCCCTCCTCAGCTTCATGATGGCCATGCTCTCTGGGCCTGGAGAGATTTGCTGGCCAACTAGCACCGGGGCTCCAGCTGGCAGGACAGGCTGTAGCTACAGGATAGAGTGGCACCTGTGAGCCTCCCACAATCCACAGCCCTGGTGTCCCTCCCGGCATCTGCCCAGCAGCTGGAGCCCAGCTTCCCCAGCCATCGCCATGCGACAGGTCAGGGCTGACAAGGGAGTCATGGACTCAGGCTCTCCGGACTGGCCAGCAGGGAGAGTTCACCTGTTCCTCCCCATGTCCTGTCCAGCCTCACCTCTCGTCCTCACTGAGCTGCTCCATGTCCCAGAACCAGGCCCTGAATTGCTCCTGGGGCTCTAGGTTGTAATTCTCTGCAGCCTCCTGGAGCTGCACGATCTCCATCATCACTTTGTCCTCCTGGCACCAGAGGGAGGAGAGGATGCAGACAGAGCCTGCTGGGGATACTGCAGGGTCTTCATGGGGTGAGGAGTGGGGCAAGGGGCTGGTCCTGGGTCCTTGCTCACATGGGACCCTCCTTCCCTCCAATTCCATGCAGGACCTACCTGTTCTCAGAGATGGGTATAAGCCCCTCCTGCAGGAAGTTTTGCTTGATGCCCACCGCTGCCCCCACCCCCCCACTGGATGGGTCTCCTGATTCTCTGTCATCCAACACTCTCAATAAATGTAAGATGCAGCGGGTGGTGCCCAGGAGAGTTCCGCCCAGGGGCGTCTCTGGTTTCCACGCCCCTCTCCTCCCTGACATGGAAGGCCACAGCTGCTCACCTTTTTCTTTTTCTCGTGGTTGATCTCATTGCCCTGGAAGGCAGACAGCAAAAGTCCATCAGAACGAGGCCCCTAGCTATGACCAGCCCCCGTGCACACCCCTTCTCATGGTGCCCAGCTCCAGGTCCAGGAGGGGGCTGGGCCTGACAGAAAACAGGACTTGAACCGAGGCCAGGCTCTGGGCTCCAGAGAAGGGAGGACATGGGGGCCGACACTCAAAGACCCTGTAGCCCAAGCCTCTCTGATGACAGACAGGGAGGCTGAGTCCTCAGGCAGGAAGGGACAGCTCCATCAGTGTGCTGCCTGACTTGGAGGCCGACTTCTCTCTCACCTCCAACAAAACCCCTGCAGCTCTGCAGGCAGGCAGCTCTGCTGCTTCACCAGCCTGGGGACCCGGGACGGGCTCCACGTGGAGCCTTCGTTCCCTCATCCCTAAGAGGGGCACACTGTCCCAGCCCACAGGGGAGCCTGGGAGGCTGTCATGACAGGAAGTTACCACATTCTGACCACTCAGGTCTTGGTACTGGGACTGTGTCTTCCCAAGTCCCAACCTGGTCATCCACTTCTGGCCCCCGGCCTCACTCACATTTATGTAATCCTCCATGGCAGTGTCCAGCATGATCAGGTCAGCATGGTGCCCAGGAAGGGGACGATGCCCTGTGCCATTGGGATTAGATGGAATGAGGCCCTGGTCTCAGGTGTCCCCATGACCCTCCCCTGAAAACTCCCCATGCTCAGCCTCCTGGCCCAGCCCAGGGTCCCCACATGGAGAAGCCTCAAACCCTTCATAGCCAGCCCTCAATCCCCACCCTTCACCCTCCAAGAACACCTGACTCCTCCTGGTCACCTCCCAGGGCCTGCTTTTGGCCGGTCACAGGGCCTTTGACCCTTGGCCTCTCCACTCTCCTGACCCACCCTGCTGCAGCTCCCCAGGCCCTCCTCCTGGTCACTTCTAAGGGTGGGTGTCAGGCTCTGCGGCAACAGGAGGAGGGCTGCAGGAGGAAGGCCCCCCTCTGGATTGGAGCCTCCAGCTGGGAGGGCAGAGACCCCTCCTCTGACCTTGGAGCCCCTCCCCTACAGGTGCACTCACCTTCTGCTGCTGCCTCTTCCGGCCTCTCTGGATGGTCCTCAGCAGGGTGGCAAATTTGGAGGGCTGCTTCTGACAGGATCAAGGACAGGGTCAAGGAGGCCATCCTCCCCTCACCCCACTTCTCCTCAGCTCCTCTGACCTCAGCAGTGGACGTCTGAACCAAGTCAGCTGGTGCCAATGCTACTCCATCCTCCAGGATGCTCTGATTCTAGAACAATCCCAGCTCCAACACTCTTGGTGTGTGACCTTGGGCAGAAGGCCTGTCCTCCTTGAGTCAGCCTCCTCATCTGGAACGTGTGACAACTCCCCCTACCTCGCAGGGTCTCCTGAGGACTCAGCGTCAGTGACGGTCTGCATGGTTCTGGCTCTCACCCCACCCGGCGTGAAAGGGTGGGGTGGGGCTGAGAGGACACTTTGGTTTCTCTTTCATGTGAAGCCTATGAGGTCCACTCAGGAAAGATCCATTGAGCACCACCAGTTTCCTGGACACTTCTCATAAGCCACCTGGGCACCAGTTACTGCTGACTAGGACCCAGGTGAGGTTCCTGACAGGGACAGACTAGCAGGGACCGCGGTAGGGCCAGTGGGGAGTCACACATGCACACACACCTGTCATGCTTCAGCCATTTAGACTCAAGGCTGGGCAGCCCATTTGTCCACCTGGCCTGGGGGAATGCCTGGCAGTGCCCATCCAGAGGGCAGGCAGGGTGCCCTCCTCATGGAGAGGTGGTGAAGACAGAAGGAGCAATGGGGGCCTGGCTTCCTAAAGACACACTGAGCTGGTTCAGGGAAGAAACATAGCACCACCCACCCCATCCATGCAACAGCCTGGAAGAATCTAAGTGCTGAGAGCGTGGACCAAAATGGAAGGCAGCCCCTGCTCAACCAGCCAGCTCAGCATCCCCACCTGGATCAGCCCAGACACCCCCACTTCCTGCCATGACCAGGGCTTCCCACCCCACAAACACCTCCCCCACCTGCCCATGGACCAAACATACCCCATCTTCCTGTTTATCCAGGGAAGACTGGAATTGTACACAGAAACTTCAAGTGAGAAATGACCTTCCACATCCTGCCCCATCCCCCTTCCCCACACCCCGCCTCTCCCTCCACATGCCAGCCTCGACTCTACCTTGATGAGCAGCTCCCAGCTCAGGGAGTTGTCCTCATCACAGAGCTTTTTAAATTTTCGGCAGCTCTTCCTGAGGGGGGAAAGGACGAAGGAGAAGCTCAGGAATAATGGGGCAGGGGGCATAAGTCCAAGTCCCTTCTCTATGAGAATCTAGAAAATCCAAACTGCCTGAATGAGGATTTTTGCGGGGGTCCTCTGAGCACTGACGTCACCATGGGACTGCAGAGGGGGCTCTCATGTTGGTCACCTGGGGCTGCCACTCCCATTTCTATGGAGCAGCTGTATTTTGACCAGTTTGGGTTTCCACTGGGCACAGAGGTCTGTTGCTGTATGGCAAACACTTGAAAATCTCCAGTTTGGTTCAACCTACTATGTGACATCTTAGCAACCTGATTGCTGAAGCAGAACTGGTGGCCTAAGTTGCCAGTGAGGATCAGGGACACTGCACACCAACCAAGGCCCTGTGCCCAGGGCTTACTGCCACCCAGGAAGCTCCAGCCGATGAGAGGGCAATGGCAGACACGTGGGAGCTCCCTCCTCCCCCGGTCCTCCTGTGGAGAGGCATCCCCACCTGGACACTTTCCCCCAGGTCTTCTTCAGTCTGTGTATGGGCACGTTCTGCAGAGCCGAGAGTATGGCATGAAGGGAGGAGATGTTCCTCAAGGCTTGGCACTCCTGAGGAGGGAGAGGAGGAGCTGGGAGGGGGAGCAGGAGCCCTGTCTGCTCTGGCATCAGTCCCCCTCCCTTCCACTCTCCCCTCCTGAGTGGGACAGATGGCCAGGGTGCCAGGGTGGGCACAGGTGCACCAAAGAGTAACACTTCCAGGAGGAGGAATTTCGCTCAAAGTAGGAATGAGCCAGGGAGGAAGTGAGCATCCCATCACTGGGACATGCGAGTCAAGGTCAGTGTGCCCTTGACAGGAAGGACCTAGCGACTGTGCAGGGGCTTAGAGTGCAGCCTTCAGTCCTGATAGCTGATCAAGAAGAATGGACAGTTCCACGGCTCAGGAGAGGGTCTCCCCCCGCATACCCTGGCCACCTCGATCCACCGCTCCAGAACCTTGGCCCTGCCCCGGGCCGTCACGTTTGGGTCCCCAAGGCAGGACGTCATAACACACTTTACTACTCTGTTGAACTGCACCACTGTGGCCCAGACGGTGGGTGCCACGTTCTCATGTCCGGGCCGGTTTCTTTTGCCCCAGGTGGAGTCCAGACACTCAGAGGGCTCGACGTTCTTGAACACTTCCTGGGGAGGAGGGGAGTGTCACTCAGCCCTGCCACAGCCCAGCTGAGTGTCCAAGCAGGAGTCACCGGTCTAGGGAGGGGCTCAGGAAGCTGAGGATGTGTTCTCAGCGTGGTGGGAGCCCCTCGCTTTCATTGTTCTTCCACTGAGAGCACCCAGCACAGGAGGACCCGGGACTCCAGACTGGTGGGGAAAGGACAGGAGCATTTACACACAGCCCACCCCCACAAACTGCAAGCTCCAGAGGGCTGCTCCACTTGGCTCCTCCCAAGGGGGCATCTCCCTGCATCCTGAGCATCCTTGGTCCCAGGCCCCATTCCGCTGCACATTCCCCTGTGCCAGCTACACCCACGGGCTTTGTCAGGTTGTCTCCCTTTTAGTTAGGTACACGTCTGGTGCATCACAAATGCTGAGGCTGCTGAGCATCCCTAGCAGATGACTGGACCACCTGAGTTCCTGGCTGCACACAGTGAGTTCTCCTCCCCGACCTCTCAGGCCAGGCCCCACCAGGCTTCCTCTGTGTTCTACTTCACTCAATGTGCTCAGCCCCTCTGTCCAGCAGGTCCTCTTGGTCCCCATCTCTACAGTGTGAGGGTGGAACATGAAGGCTGGGGATTTGCCTAGATCCCATGTTTGGGAAGTGGTGGAGCTGGGATTTGGACCCAGGTCACAGGAGCCACCACAGGGAAAAGCAGGTCTGGGCCAGCTGATGGCATAGGGGTGGCCTGCCCCACCCCGCCCTGAGAGCCCGGGTGCTCACCGCGTCAATGGCCGTCAGCTGTTCTGCCACCTCCCTTGGGGAGAAGGCCATGAGGCTAGGCTTCCCATAGGGCTGCTTCTTCCCGGTCACTCGACAGGGGTGGGAAGCCTCTGGAACCGGAGCTGATTCTGCGGCTGTTACTGGAGCCTGAGGTGGAAATCCCAGCAGACCCCTTGGTCCCGTTGAGTCCAGTTCAGGACCTGGCAGTTGGGCTGGGGCTGCTGATGGCACTCGCTCAGGGTCTGGAGCAGCTGATGGCGGTGCTGCTGGCTCCAGCGCTAGAAGTGATGGCAGAAATAGAACTGGAGTTCCATCCAGCTCCAGATGTGGCCCCTTTTCTGCCTCTGCACCTGGCAGAAGTGCTGGAGCTGGGGCAGGAGCTGGAGAAAGAGAAAGGGTCAGCTACATAAGTTGCTTTCCATGTGCCTTTCCCCAAACAGGAAAGATCCCACTGTCTTTAAATGAATCCCCATTCATGACCCACCCACTGGGGTAGTCTTCCAAGCCTACGGTCTCCCTTACCCTCTGTCTCCAACTCAGTGGCCTGGAAAAGTTCCACCTGGATGAGAAGAGGGGTGGCCTGGTGCTTGAGGACTGAGCCAGGCAAGAGGTCCTGTAGATACGCCAACGTCAGATTGATCCTGGAGTGGCGCAGCATCTGCCACATATCCTGGGAGTTCTCCTGAGGCCAGGGGCCCCAGATGGGAGAGAGGGCACTGGGGAGAGGCATGTGTGAAGAGAGTCACAGGCCTGGCCTGCTGTTCCACACTGTGTTCCCACAGCACCTTCTCTGTGCCTGAGCCCCAGAGGGTGGACCGGCCACTCCAATCCCTGGGTGGCTGTCCTTGCACTGGAAGGCCTGGTCATCAGCCAATCTAACAGAGAGCCTGTGTGAGTCTGGTCTTCCACCTGACACTCTTCCCAAAGGGCCTGGACATAGCCTGCCCCATCCTCCGCACTCAAGCATCAGGACTGAGGTTTGAGGCAGATTTGTGACCAGGCTGCTCACCACCTACTGTTCTGGGCCCCAGTGGTGGTGGTTAGGAGAGGTGCATGTGCAGAGGGCAGGGAGAGGGAGAGGGAACTGTGGAAGCGATGAGTCTCTCAGTGGCCGACTCAGCCCAACCTCTCCTCTGCTTCCCATGGCGGGACTGGGACCCCATGAACAGGTCTCTTTGATTCATTTCCTCCTGTAGGGAAGACCGCAGACCTCAGGCCTCCCACAGAAACCCCAAGAGGTGTGAGATCCAGGGTCTGCCAGTCCATCCATAGCCACAGTCCCCATGGTCTCCTAGCCCCTTCTGTGGACACAGGAGGCCCTCCCTCTGGACCCAACACCACTCATGGCCTTAGTTGGTCCTTGAAGTCTGTCATCGTGGTCTGACTATGAGAGGCTGCGTCCATATCTAGAGGAGGCCAAGAGGGTGTGACATCTAACGTCCTCTGGGCATGAATACTCATGATGGCCAGAAGTGAGCTTCTAGCTCTCAGGCTAGAATTGAGCCCCAGGGATAGTGTCTGCTTCCTTCATTGGACATCCTTAGTGTGTAGGAAAGGGTATGAATGTAGTAGGAGCTTAACATATAGTATTGAATGAATGAACCCCCTCCAGAGCCTTCCCAGAATTCTGAGTGGGCCTGCATCTCCTCTGCTGCCCACAGAGACCACTGCTCTGGCCGCACCGAAGACAAGGACCAGGATCAGCTAGATGGAGTCGCTAAATTGTCTTGCCAATAGGAAAACAGTTTACTTTCATGTACTTTTCCACACTCAGGAAGGCCACAGGCCAGCGAGGGGAGAGGCAGGGAGTCTCCTCACTGGGGACGGAAGCTATAAGCGTGAGGACACGCAGCTTGAGCAGCAGCCCCTTCTGTGGAGTCCGGCACCAAGCAAGTGCCTGCCATGGTTTCTCCTGTGATTTCCTTCAGTGACCCTGTGAGGTTCATCCTCTTACCACCCCACTATTCGGATGAGCAAGGTGACGCTCATAGAGGTGTGGGGACGTTCCCAAGGCACACGTTTATTAGGTGGGAGACTCCCTGCTGTGCTGTGGAGGGGTGGGCACTCACCTCTGGAGCAGCTAGTCCAGGACCTCTGGGGTCGGGTAGAAGGCCTGGTACACACACGGGAAGGTGGTGACGGAGATGGATCTGCCGTGGAAAGATGGTTGCAGGCAGTCTACCACCTTCTGCACTGCGCCTGCCTTGAGGGTCAGCATCGTGCGGGCCTCAGCCACGGACAGGGGCGGTTCCTTGGCATACCACGTGGACAAGGAGGGACACAGAGTCAGTGGAATCACCATGAACCACCAGGAGCATCAGGGTCTGGAGCTCAGACCAGAACCTCCCAGCACCTCAAGAAGTTGTGCAAGAGGGACGAGAGCCCACCTTGAAAATGGTTTTGAACTTAAAAGTACAATTTGATTTTTAGGGGAAGGACAAATAGTACCTTGAAGGCATTCTGTGACCTGAGGAACAATCGCACCTCTGTGCATTAAGAGCCTGTGTTAAGAGCATCACCTCAGGGAGTCATCAATAAACATCCCCACCACAGACATGAGCAAAGAGACGATTAGTGACCTTCTGCCAGTCTGCAGTTCTATGTCATGGCAGACCAAGAAAACTCAGAGTCCATTCGGACACATGTAACGTGACCTGCAGTGTGTTGCTGAAATGGCAACAGAATTGGGTCATGTCAAGGTCCAACAGCATCGAAAGGCTGAATCAATGTGCAAAATGTCCTTCTCTGTGGAACATGATGAAGTCACTTAAGGCCTCAGCTCCTGACCTGAGCGGCCTACAATGAGTTGATGTGTTCTGTGCAATGACAAGTTGCAGAGAAATGTATAGAATCCTCTAATCCCACTGGAATGCTCTTTGTGTGTAATCAGCCCAGCAAGTGTGATGACTTGTGAGGCTTGGAGCAGGTCTGCAAGGACAGTGGCCTGAGTGCTACACAGCTCCCCAGCCGGGCAGTTACATGGATCAAAACAGGAGCAAAATGCTAAGGTCCTCATGGCCTCGTGAGAAGTGATAACAACAGTAAACCTTTCCTCTACAATTCCAAGAAACATGTGGAGAGTGTCTTTCCACCCTAGCCCAAAGCTGGCTGGGGAGGAGAGGAGGCCCAGGCTGCTTTGGGAGCAAGGCCGTAGGACACCCAGTGGGAAAGCCCTGTGAGGGCCCCAGGGGTGTGCTCAGATTCAGACCTGGGTTCCAGGCCCACGCTGAACATCTTGGGGGGGTGGGGGTAAAGTCCTTCTGCTCCTGCTCTCACCTCAGACCGGCACAGGATGCTGCTGGTGGCCTGCTGCTCCTGCCCCTTGACTAGGGAGGGAGAGAAGTCAAACCCAACACATAACTCTTCAAACATCTCCTGAGTGGAGCTCTGGAAAGACAATGCCCGGCAGACGGGCCAGGAGGCATTAGGAGCCTGCTAGACATCGCCATAGGGGGACACCCCCATGAGAATTTCTGTTCCCTAGTTCAGGCACAGATGGACATCTGCACAGACATCTGACCAGGGAGGGAACTAGATGAAACTTCTAAGGCTCGGGATTAACACAAGGGCAGAGGAGCTTGATCCCCAGCACCCACCTGCTCAGGTTGCCAGCCTGGCGTATGAATATCACAGACTCACCAGTTTTACAGCACGTAACAAACTGCTCTGATTTGAAGTGTTTTTTGAGATAACAAGGTGCAGAGAAATGTATAGAATCCTGTAATCCACGCCCATGCTCTTTGTGTGTAATCAGCCTAGCAAGTGTGATGATTTGTGAGGCTTGGAGCAGGTCTGCAAGGACAGTGGCGCTGAGTGCTACAGCTTCACAGCCGGGTAGTTACATCAATCAAAACAGGAGCAAAATGCTAAGGTCCTCATGGCCTCGTGAGAAGTGATAACAACAGTCAACCTTTCCTCTATGATTCCAAGACAGATGTGGAGAGTGTCTTTCCACCCGAGCCCTCAGCTGGCTGGGGAGGAGAGGAGGCCCAGACTCCTTTGGGAGTAAGGCCGTAGGACACTCAGTGGGAAAGCCCTGTGAGGGCACCAGGGGTGTGCTCAGATTTGGACCGGGGTTCCAGGCCCAACCTAAACATCTTGGGGTGGTGGGCGGGGAGACCCTCTGCTCCTGCTCTCACCTCAGACCGGCACAGGATGCTGCTGGCGGCCTGCTGCTCCTGCCCCTTGACTAGGGAGGGAGAGAAGTTGAACCCATCACGTAGCTCTTCAAAGGTCTCCTGCGTGGAGTTCTGGAAAGACAGTGCCCGGCAGACGGGCCAGGAGGCATCAGGGGCCTGCCTGTACATCGCCATAGGGGGACACCCCCATGAGGAATTCTGTTCCCTAGTCCAGGCACAGAGGGACGTCTGCACAGACATCTGACCAGGGAGGGAACTAGATGAAACTTCTACGGCTCAGGATTAACACAAGGGCAGAGCAGCTTGATCCCAGCACCCACCTGCTCAGGCTGCCAGCCAAGCCCCGGGGTATGAATATGACAGACTTACCTGGCTGACAGCACATAACATTCTCCTCCTGCCCAGGAGGGCCCCACTCCTCACCTGCTGCCTTCCCGCACAGCGCCCACGCGTACACACACACCCCGACACTCACACACAAACCCTCACACAAGGTGCAAGGGCTATGGGGCTGCTCAGGTGGGATCCGAGTTGTGTCCTGCCCTACAGTGGGCTGCCCTGGGCTGCCCCACATTACCTTTGGGTACCTCCTGGCAAATGACCAGTGGCATTGACCATGAGGCTTGATCCGATGTCCACAACACCACAACAGTCTCACACTCTGGGCTTTCCTGATCCTGGAGCCTCTGAAAACTGGGACACAACAAGCAAACATGTTGTTCTCTGAAGTGTCTCCAGTCAAATGAGCTGGCTAGGGGTCTGTCTCTAGAATTAACTGCCTGGTTACCAGAGTTCTAAGTCTGTTGGGGTCTATCGGCAAGGAAGTGAGGTCACTTTTTCAAGATTCCATTACCTGGGCTGCTTCCTGTAATCGGACCTACCCAAACCACCCCCATGTCTTCTTCTTAACTATACATGAGGAGCTTCCACAGCCCCAGCCACAGCTCCCTGGGAATGTGATGAGGGTCCCAGCTTTGAGGAGGCAGAGCAGAATTCAGACCTCCTTTATCTTACCAGTTCTCTGTCCTGGAAAACTCATTGTGCTTCTCAGGGCCTCCCCAGTCTCCAAATCTGCACAAGGGGAATCCGCCTAGAATCTACTTGCTAGGGACATCATCAGGTGTATATGCAATAATATCCATACCATCTGTGAGGTGGTGTCAAGTGCAAGTAATGCACAAACAAAGAGATGGAAGAATTACGAGAAGGGATGTAGCATGAACACCACTCAAACCAGGCCTGGGTTCAGCAATGCGCTATTGCAACAGGCACTTCCTCTCTTGGCCTCATTTCAATGTCAGCACAAGGAGAGGGTTGATGAATGAAATCCAGACACTGTCATCCTCTGGATTCAAACCTCTCCATTGTTTCCTCTTCTGTTTAGAAAGAGACCCAAGTGCCTCATCTTGATCTGTGAGGTGGGCAGCCTTCACCATGGCTCCCAGAGATCCCCACCCGTGGTACACACATCCCTCACAGATTCCTGTGTGACCACTGAGTGCTTAGTGACTGGCTCTCACCAACAGAACACAGCCAATGTGGACGAGTGTCATGTCTAAATTTTAAACACAGAAAGTCTCTCACTTCTTTCTTATTCCCTCTCTTAAGTTCCGTCTATCTCTCTTTCCCGTGTCTCTCTCTCTCTCCTGTCCCTGAGCTGTGGAATCAAGCACACACGTTTTGAGCTGCCATACACAGAGGCCCACATGGGAGAGAACCGAGGCAGCGCCCAGGCCAACAGACAGAAAGGAACCCATGCTCTGAGTCCAAAGTGCATCTCGACTCCTTCGAGTGAACCTGAGAGGAAATTCTCTGCCAGTCGAGCATCACTTGAGGCCGCGGCCTTGAGGCATCTTGAGCAGAACAACCAAGCTAATCTATGTCTGATTCCTCAACCACAAAAATTGTGAGATATGAGGCATTTGCCGTTTACAGATGCAAGGCACTGGAACCGTGATTTCAGGCCCCAGGATCTGGCCCTGCCCTCCTCCGCCTCCTCTCTCCCCCCAGGCTCCCTCCAGCCACACTGGCCACCTTTCTCACATCCTCTGGCCAAACCCCCTTCTGCCCATGAGTGTCTACAGCAGGGGTGCCTTCTCCCTGACACGCCGCTCCCAGACTTGTGCAGGGCTGGCTCCCTCTTGTCATTCTGGTCCCAGGAAATGTCACCCCAGTGAGGCCTTTCAGACTCCTACCCGGTGATCCCCGGCCCTCCCTCACAGGCCCCTGAATGTCCCCTCAGCACTGGCTCTTTCCCCTCTCATGTCTTTGCTTTCATGCTTTTGTCCTTGTCCCCTCCAGAGTGTGAGCTCCTGACTGGCAGGGACCACTCAGTCACTGTCAGCCCTGCACTTACACCCACTTGAGCACCTGGCACAGGGGTGAGTGCTCGGTGCACAGTGGCTGAGTGAAGAATTGTGAAACTCGTGTCCCCTCCTCCTGCTCTTCACCAAGTCAGACTGTGGAGAGGACCGCTAGTGCCAGGAGGAGTGAGTTCTCTCTGAGGCGGGGGACAGCCGGAAAGGCCTCTGCACAGCTATTTGCTGCTCCAGCAGCTGAGGCAGGCTGAGTGGGCGCCGTGTTTAAGAAGTCAGCACAGGGACTGGATGCACACAGCCTGTGCGATGACACCACCAGTTCACTTAACATCCATCACCGAAAACAGAAAAGTAAGTGTTTGCTTGTGATGAGAAATTTAGCTTCTTGGTTCTTAGCAATTTTGAAATGTACCACACAGCAGTGTCAACTTAGGCAGTGCTGTGTGGCAATTACATCCCAATAGAAGTGACAACAGTGAAAACCCAACCTCGTTGGGCACCAATGACGCTGGAGGCTGCCTTCCCCCTGGTGGCCAGCACCAGCACTGCAGCCCTGGCAGAAGCCACCAAACAGGAAGTTTCTTTGGGTGTCCTCAAGGCAGAGGCTCCCCACTGTCCCAGGGGTAAAGGAGCAGGACCTGCAGGCTTCCAGGCCGTGGGAGGAACCTCAGAAGCCTCCCTCTCCCTCATGTTTCTGTCCCTCCACTTGGGTGTCCTTTTTTCTCAGGAGGCATCCTGACCTCAACCAAGGCAATGATTCTCCTCTCCAGCCAAGTGAGGACCTCGGGAGTCCAACAAGGACTGGTCTTGTCCCTGGACTCTGGCCTTAGTACACAGTGCTCTGGCATGTTCTTCCTTATCCCAAGTTCTCATCCACCCGAACCCCCAAGCCTCTCTCAGTTCTAAAGGATCTCCAGCAGGTGGGAAAGCATTTTCTCAGGTGCTCAGAGCACAGGGCGTCATCGATGGAGAACCAAGGGCCACAGACCCTTCGTGAGCATCATACGGAACCCAGGGAGTCACCCACTGGACGCACTCCACTTTACACAGGAGGACACCAAGGTATTCTCTCCTCTACCCAATGTCTACACAAGAGGAGAACGGCTCATCAGAGTAGCAGGTGCCCACAGAAGTGGACTCCAGCTCCCCAGTCCTGTGCCCTTCAGGCTGGGCCAGGGATGCCCTTGGAACAGGTACACACCTAGAAACCTCAGGGATTCTTCAGTCCATCTCGGGCCTTCTGGTCATGTAGCCAGGAAGATGGATGCTACTGTTCATGGCAGAGCTGCCTCCAACTGCCTTCTCCTCGGCCTCTTGTCACTTCCCTGGTGTCTGCTCTTTCCTGGGGTCCCTGCATGGTCCACACAGGAGAAATCGGTGTGAGTGTGCCTGTGCATGATTGGATGCGAACAGGAAGATGACCCCCCCACGGATGGGGTGGGGAGGGCTCCCCTAGGACCATGAGGTCCCTGTTTCCAAAGAAAACCCAAAGGGAAGGGGTTGAGCCTTGGCCGAGGAAGCCAGAGCCCTGCCTGATCCTCTGGATTCTGACCCCCTCCTGAGGTCTGGGTCAGTCCCTCCAACTTTCTGGGCCTCAGATTCCCAAATGGACAAAGAACACGTTTTGTAAGAGCAAAGTCAAAATGGACCCTCTGCAAATGAAACAAGTACCATGCTTTGACCTCCCCCCACTGTTTATCCTCCAAGGAGACTTAGAACCTACACGGTGTCTATTACTGGGTAAAATCACCCTCAGCACACAAAACTGATAATGGTTAAAATGGCACACGGTGAACTTTATCAGTGACTAAATATCGATGGAAGAAGAAATACATCCGAATATATTTTGATATGACTGATAAGATTCAGGAAAGTTTACTTGCT